GCTGTGCACTTTGGTGGGGCGGGGGGGGGGGGGAATATCTCGGCAGGGCCGGTCCTACAGATTGCGGGGCCCTATGCGATAAGGATAAGTGAAAATTAAGATTTTGTATAAGAAAATAATTGTGTCTTTTCATTTAATTCACTGTAAAATTAACTTTACCAGCCATCTACAGTAGATAGTAGTTTTCCAACAAAAAGCCGATAAACATTTAGATCTGCTTACTATAGACTAGCAAAAGATCGCTTTTTTTTTTAATTGCGAGTAGATTGCCATTTTCCATATTGAAAGACATCCTGGTAACCCCGAAATGACAATATGTCTGTTTTCAGACAATTTTAATAATTTCAGGACAATTCTAGGAACCCTTTAATAATAAGTTACTATGGTTTAATTCAATAATAATTAAAACACAAAAGATTTCGCGCGGGGCCTATGAAAGTGCGGGGCCCACTGCAGTCGTAAAGGTTGCAGTGGCCTAAGACCGGCTCTGTAACTGGGAGAGGGTTTTCGTGCTGCTTTTTCAAAAGCAATTTTATAATTTAAAAAGTTTCTTGAGGTCTCGAACCTCCACGATGGATGCTAACCACTGAGCTACTCAAGTACTTATGAAAATATTATTTAATTATTGTTAGCAAACTACCTAATTCTCTACACGAGGCTTATTTCCTCTTAGCTCAGTAAATTAAAAAAAAAATGAATTAATTACGATAAATTGAACTACTTGGTTAATTTTTTATTGATTCATGAGTTGTCATCGAGAATGAATAATTGCGCAAAGTTTCAATTTGGTGCGAGAATGGGAAGTGGGAAAAATAATGTGAAATTGATTCCACCTAGACAGATAGAGAGACAGATTGAATTAATATAGGTTTGTAAAAAATAAAAAGTTTTTTTAAAATTTATAGTTTTTTATTTCAATTTACTAAAACACTCATCATTGTTGTGAGAATCTTTATTTGATTTGATTACAAATACTGTTTGATTTATTATTTCATGATCTTCAAATTAGGAAGACCTAAAGAGATTTACATTAACAGTGTCCTGACCAAATAAACCACTTAAAACAATTTTTGTTATGGGTGTTTCAATATGTTCAAAATTGGTTTTTAAAATTTACATTCCTAGATACTTCTTTAATATAGGTAATAAAATGTGACCAGGGCACTAAAGTATGCTCAATTTCAGCAAGTTATCAAAATAAAGAACATTCTTTAACCTGAACGAAGATATTTACAAGACTGCAGGGCTCATGAGCAAACAAGTTTCGCACATTTGTAGCTATAACTCTTCCATATTGACCTCTTTTTGACCTCTTTTTCCAACTTTCAATCTTGTGTTTTACGTTTCGAATGTTCCATCAGAATTGAAGAGATTGCAGCTGGCAGGTTTCGAACCCGCGACCATTGAGACGACCCTTGTGTAGTGCATACCATATGACCAAGCAGCTATCCAGCAATATATATATGCTGTCATATCTTATCGTCTTATCTTATAAAATACAGATGTTACTTCAAAAAGAAAATGATGATTACGTTCTACATGTGCCCCTGTGTCAATCTAGTCATGCATCTTAATCAATGACTTAAACTCCAGGGGCGGACTGGCTATATGGACAAACGAGCAAATGCCCGGTGGGCCGGTACCAACGGTCTGGTCGCGACCTAAGAAAAAAAAATTCAATGCAAAAAGAAAGTGACAGCAGCAAGACACAAAGACCCGAACACTTTATTCTTATTACAATTAATTTTGTTTGAAATTCAACAAGAATATCAACAACAAAAAATATACACTATACACTGTACGTATTATCATTTGAAAAACGTTAGACCGTACTCTCTGCTATGCACGAGCGCATGGACTGCTTTAATGTTTTCGAGGTTTGGCCTAATCATTTTGCTGATCGGCATGGGCCATTTTTTTTCTCCTTCCCTCCCCCGTCTTTTAATGGTTCCAATGAAATTTAACCAAAAAGAGGGATGAGAGAGGTTAAGTTAGAAAACATTGATATAATGCAGAAAAAAAAGATCAGGTGTGACAATTAGCTCTTTAACAATACTTAATAGAAATTAACTTTAACACATACAAACAGCCGCGAAATTGCAAACCACCCAATTTATTCACAGCTCTACTTTCTGCGATTTGAAAAGAAAAAGTAAATTTCTTTTTGTTTATTTTTAATAACATAGATCTAAAAATACTACACTTCAGGCTTAAAACAAAAAAATTATTTAATTCAAAAATAAATCTAGATCTAAATCAATTTTTATACCATTATAATAAATGGCAAACTTGTGCTTAGTATGAAGTCATTAATTATGAATATAATTACAATAATTTATATAGCGCTGTTACATCCGATATTTAATGAAAGATTTATATTTTAAATAATGGATCATGGGATATTCATATACAAATCGCGTTTTTGAGACTGTACTAGGAGGAAGCAAGAGCTTTTCACATTAAGTAAGTGCCTCTCTAACCGTTTTGCTTTCTCTTATCTTTTAATGAATCAGCCAGAAAAACCAACGATTTACCATATTTTAAGTCACAAATCAACATACATGACTAGATTGACACATGAAATTTGTAAGACGTAACAATCTTATTTTTTGAAGAAACGTCTGTAATCTATAAGTAATACCAAAAAGCTTCAAACTCATTATTGTATTGTTTATATTTTGCAGACTACATACATGTATAAATAGAATACATTATGTAAACCTATGAATGCATACATCCAGTTTCCGATGCGTTATCAAACGTGATATATTTTGTAGAGAATTAGGCTTACGCTTATAATATAACACATGGCCGTAGCCGGGAGTGGAGGGTCTTCAAACCATCACTTGCCTCAGACCTCATTGTCTGAAAGGGAAACTTTACTTACTGTCCCAGTGCAGCCAACTTAAGCAAACTAGTCACCAAATTTCATGAGCATAGCCAAAAGGGGTTTTGTGGTTTCCCTTCCCTCTCCATACAAAAACTAAAGCATTTTACCATTTTCTACCAGTCGCTGGACTCCAGTGAATAGCAGATTTGGTTTTTGAATTTTTTTTAGCGGAAGAGTAGCAGGCTAATTGCACTGTACATACCTCAGAATATGCATTTTTAAAGCTTTAAATAAGTGAAATAATGCCTGGTTCCGGGGCTTCGCCCCGAACACCACCGAGGGGAGCTCACAGCGCTCCCCCGGACTCCCTAGCTGCCCTTTGGCGGTGTGTACTGTCTTTCCACTAATTATAGGAAGGAGTATTCTAGGGTAGAAAAAATGTTTGAAAGAATAAAAGATCAGAATGTAATGAAGATTAATTACATATATACACACACTAATAAATATTTAAAAATTGCGGAGTGGGGTAAAACTACCCCCACAGAAAATATATGACATGCCATTTGTGGGCCGGTTTATATGGTAATGCCTAGGCCGATTTTGATACCCAGTCCGCCCCTGTTAAACTCTGCAAAGTTATTGGTTTTCCTGACTGACTCAGGCAGCCCATTCCATGCTCTAATATGGAAGAAGGAGCATTTGTACAAACTTGTCCTAGAATACAGAACAAGAAATATTCTTTAATCGTCATAGGGACACAAATGTTATTATTATTGCATTGCGATTCATATAAAATTATTTAGCTAATGAATATTTCTAAAACTTAAGTATCTGGAATATGAAAGCTCTTCATCTAACAACCATTTTAATCTTTTCTCTGTGTGACTACAAAATTTCAGACATGCCAAAGACTGCAAAGGTTGTGGCTGTGCTCAAGAAACAAGTCTTTTCTCAGCCATTGTGGTCAATCCTCAGTACCCGCACGACAGCGATGACTCATACACCATGGTAGCCATCAAATTACCTGGATGTTGTAAATGTTTCAACAACTTGCCATGAGGCACTTGAATTTTCTCATCATGTCGGTCAGCTTTGTAAATATTTCATACAAAAGACATCTTCGAATCAAAGTGTACTGTATATTTTGTTTAATGTTGCAATGTTGTTGGACATATATTTTATATTGTAGGTCAGATGGAACTGTCATATAAACAATGTAACTAGTTGATGGCTTTTCAGTTAACACAATTGAAAGAAGTAGGTATAGTAAAGGCCAATCATTGGGGCTTTCAAGGTAAACTAGACAACGTTAAGGTCGCCAAACTTAACTTCAAATTTATCTTTTTATATTTACCTTTACCTATTCTTTAGTCTGTTGGACCGTTGGGGCACCAAGCAAGACTTGTCGACCGTCTTTCTCCATTCCTCCCTGTCTTTTGCCTTGTTTAGAGCCTCTTTCCATGGCAGGTCCGTCTATTCTTGTACGTTGTCTCCCATCGCTTTCTCTGTCTGCCTCTTCTTCTTTTTCCTGGTACAGTTCCCTGAAGGAAGGTCTCAGCGAGCCCAGAAGATCTTGTATCTACTAAATAAAAAAGAAATTGAGTTATACACAGAAACTCTTAGAAGATAGTACTGTAATGCTAAATTAGTTGTTTTTTTTAAATGCACACAGATTAACATTTCGAAGATTTTCATACATGGCAGTAAAATTATAATTGCAAAGTTAATAAGCTAGATTTGATACTAAGATTAACTGCCACGCATTGGGATATTGTTAAAATTATTGCTTAATTTTTTTTTAAATTTTAGTTGGCACCAGGAGTAGATTAATATGTCATTGAATGCTATTTTAATTCTTGCAAAACGCTGAATGGAAAGAAGGCAGCTTGTAAACAGATCATGTGTGGTACCCCATAGCAGCCCCAATGATCTAAAAGACTAAGTGTCATGTTTATTATGACATTTTAAAACACGTTCCCATAATTCATTGCCACCATAAAGTATTGGATTGAGTTCATCGCAGTGGCGTAGCTAGGGTATGGGGAGGGGGGGGGGGGAGAATTTGAAAATCCCCTCTGGCCCCCATTTGAGAGGGGACCCAAATGAGTATTTTTTTACATTAAAAATTAAATATTATTCAAAATGCTGGGGCCCCAAAGAGGTCAAGCCCCCCCCCCCCCCCGGGCCCCCAAACGATGGAAAATTCCTAGCTACACCCCTGGTTCATCGCGACAGAAGGCTCAAATAGATTTGTATTACATGTTACATTCCATGTTGACTATACTAGAATTGAATGTTGTGAAAGCTATTTTTAGTTTAGACGTGACGCCATTCGTTCCTCTGTGTTTATTAGTTTTAGATACACATTGTATGTTTCTTAACATCCTGAAACATTATGACATATACTGTATGAACATTGTGCTTAGTTTGTTACTTTGTGTGTGGTGTGTAAATGCAGTGCGGGTGTTTTTTTTTATATGACAATGCAATAAACACATGTTTTTTTTTTCTAATATAATTTTATTTTGTCTGTAATGAGGCGTAAGCCAGTAAGTCTATAATAGAAAGAAAGTGTCTAATTATATCCTCCAATGTACCCTATGGTCCCCCATATAACCCGCGGATTATACACTTTTTTACAGACGAACAACAGCTGTGCGGGATATACTTAGGTGCGGGGTTTAAACATTTTTTTTTACTCAGAAACATAACACAACGAAAACTCAGGACATACCAGTGGGTCTTTATACCTCCTAGAGCTAGCTGTGTGGTTGTGAAATTACATTGGGAAGCTTTATCAACGTCTTCTTCTAAGCCCCAAAGAAAACTAATAGTACCGATGATACCACTTTATAGGCATCATCTGCCCTATAGACCACAAGGTCTGAAATGGGAACTTGACTTTTTACTTACATGTATTTTCACACCAATAATTATTTAGGGTACAAAATGATATTTTAAACCATATATGTGTTTACTGAATGATTAATTTTCCTTCTTGGTATAAAAAACAACAACTAGTAACCTGTAAATAATTGACTAATTGGTACATTTTTTTTATTGATTCATGTATTTTTACCTAACACTAGTTTGGGGAAAGTAAAGTCATTTGGTAGTTGTGCTGGTCACTTGACACCTTCATTAACCGTGGGCCGCAGAAATAGATGACCATTACATCATCTGACCTATAGATCACAAGGTTTGAAAGGGGAACTTCTTTCTGCATTAATCTTTTGGTCTTTAAGACACGCCTAATTATTATTTCCAGACTAACAGTTAAAATACTTCTATATACTTATACAGCAACCATCAGCAGTCTAGTAACTTTGCTATCACCTGCTGGTAGGGTAATACTTCACTGGCACAAAGACTTAGACTAAATAGACTAATTAAAAAAGCATCGTATATCACTCGAACACAGCTACCATCTCTTGAAGAGCTTTTACATGAAATATGCCTTTCCAAAACACTCACGATTCTTAAGGGCAACATGCATCCATTAAACCACTGTTACATAAGTTCTGAAGGAAGTAATCGTCTCCTTTCCATTTCGGTCAGAGTGTTACAAGATCATCTGTCGTGATCGAGAAGTTCATAGAAGTCTAATTCATAAAGCGCTGGCTGTGAGTGTCTATGTGTTTCATGTGTAAATGTTGTTCGTATTTGCATCTATGTTGTTATTGTACAGTAGTTACGCTGAGGTGGTCGATTGTAGTCCAACTGAATTTCCATTTGATTGGATCAATACAAATTCTTATCTATATTATTTAACCCTTTAGACGCGTGTGGTACTTTAGCCTCTAAACACTAGCATTGTAAATCCATGTTTGTGTATACTCAGTGTACAAAAGCTCAGCACTTTAAGGGTTAAGATGCTAAAAAAATGAAGTAAATGCACACAGAAATATATATATATATATATGTATATTTCTAAAATCGGCGAAAGAAGAACGTTTAAAAACAAAATACAACAACAATTTTTTTTAAAGGAATTATACAAAGGCATACAAAGATCAGGGACAATGGAATAGTGTTAAACAATTCTTCTTATCATTACAACAGAAGAATATACCTCAAATACTGCATTTAGAAACCAAAAGGTAAGATTCAAGTTACTTTTTAGAACATACTTAAAGACTGGCAGTGGACAGCTTTATTAGTAAATAGAATGTGATTGGACATAGCGAGAGTCTTACACTGTCATCCTTAAAAGTGTTTTGAATTCATGCTCAACATGAAGATTTTTTTTTTTTTTTGCTTTCATGTTTCGTATGTTCCTTCAGAATTGAAGATAATCTACTTCCTAGTCCAAATCTCCCGATGGACAACAGGGGATGGCAGCAGTCAGTGTTTGAATTCGAGGCCATTGAGACAACCAAACAATAGCCCAGCGTGCATACCACATAAATTGGCAGCTAACCAGTGAATCTTTAAAAAATCTTCTAAGAGTACAAATATAAATAAGACTTTGATAAAAGGGAAATATTGTTGATCTTCTCAATTACTAAGCATATCGGTGTCTTTATTTCCCCATACCATTTATCCATTTGGTGGGTCCACATGGTTTCTATCCGCAAAGACAAAACAGCATCTGTTACCCATTTGGTGGGTCCACATGGTTTCTATCCACAAATACAAGACATCAGCATCTGTTACCCATTTGGTGGGTTCACATTGTTTCTAACCACAAATACAAGACATCAGCATCTGTTACCCATTTGGTGGGTCCACATTGTTTCAATCCACAAATACAAGACATTAGCATATGTTACCTATTTGGTGGGTTTACATTGTTTCTATCCACAAATACAAGACATCAGCATCTGTTACCCATTTGGTGGCTCCACATTGTTTCAATCCACAAATACAAGACATCAGCATCTGTTACCCATTTGGTGGGTCCACATGGTTTCAATCCACAAATACAAGACATCAACATCTGTTACCCATTTGGTGGGTCCACATGGTTTCAATCCACAAATACAAGACCTCAGCATCTGTTACCCATTTTGTGGGTCCACATGGTTTCAATCCCCAAATACAAAACAGCATCTGTTACCCATTTTGTGGGTCCACATGGTTTCAATCCCCAAATACAAAACAGCATCTGTTACCCATTTGGTGGGTCCACATGGTTTCAATCCACAAATACAAGACATCAACATCTGTTACCCATTTGGTGGGTCCACATGGTTTCAATCCACAAATACAAGACATCAGCATCTGTTTCAAAATCCCAGTTTGTACAAATTGAAGGTAACCAATAAGTGTCCCAATTTCCTAAAATTCTCAAGTTCAGAGGTGAAACAAAATAATTAATAGATTGTGCAGGTGCTTGTTAAATACAGGTAAACTAGACTAGTAGGGACTTTCTCTAAGTGTAACAGTCATAAAATGGACATAACTCCACATCACTTTCTTGAGCAGTTATCCAAAATAAGTAAAAAAAACCCAGTTTATTACAAATAAATCTAGCCTGCAGACATACTAACAATAAAAAGAAAAATTCTTTGGCAAGTTTTACTTTCGTTTCTCTATTTTTATCAGGTAGCTCACTGACAACACTGTATAAACAAAACTTAACCTTTACTAAACTTTTTCAAGATTTAATAGTATAGCGGACATATTTCTAAGCCATCTACTAAACAAGTAACTCCAAGACTTGTATACTTCATTTATATTAGAAATACTTTTATTTTGCATTTGGATTTAGACATATATAAATAAACAAATATAAAAAATTACATCATTATGGCACTTTGTCAATTATTATGTCATTAAATCAATCAACATGTAACAAGCAATACTTTCACATCCTGAACATTGTGTTACCAACAAATCATAGAGTCATTGTTAGTTCATATTTATATTATTATTTATATTATTTATATACAAACTTAAAATCTATTAGTATTGATAATCCTTTTTTTAATTCAGTTAACAAATAATTGCATAACAGATTGTCAGTCACTTATTTAAAGTCTCTATCATTGTTCTGTTTCAAATTAAAAAAGCAACAGCACTAAATTTGCATGTTGAGAATAGTTAACATTCACTCTACTACACCATGTCATGATGTGTAACAATCTTAGTTATGTATGTATATGGGAAATGCTCCTGGAGCAAATTTGAGTAACGCCAGGAGCCTATGAACCATGGGCAGCTTCCAGAAGAACTATTTCAGGCAAATCCTGCAGCACTGCTAACCTAGATCTATTATTTATAGTGCATTTGGATTCAACATCTGCATAGAGAGAGGGGAATATGGTGTGGGTAAGAACATTCAGACCATATATTTATTATATATATTAATGAAGAGTGCAGTATTTCACATGGCTACGCAGTGCCAGCTGCGACCTAAATATTTTGCCACATCCAGTGCAGACGTAACCATTTTCCGCCGGTGGTCAATTTAGATTCTTTTCCCTAATGCCCAAGCTTTCATCTCACCAAAGATCAAGGAGTTTTACCATTGAATTTTTTTCTGACTGAAGGTAGCCAATAAATGTAGACCGTAAATAGCTTGAGGCGAGGCTTGCCTTTAGAATTAAGCATATCAATTTCCTCATAGATTCATTGCATTACAAACAAAGACAGTAGACTATACTATTTATAAATTTGATGACATCAATGAAAAAAAGTTGATATAACAACACAAGAGGACAGCAGAGGTGTAGCTAGGTTGGCGGAAGGGAGGGGAGAATTTGAAAATACCCATGAGCCCATACTTAAGGGGGGCCTTCAAATGAATGTTTTTGACATTAAATATTACACAAAAATGCAGGGGCCCCCAAACAGGTCAAGACCCCCAGGCCCCCATACATGGCAAATTCCTAGCTACACCACTGCAGGACAGCATACAAGAATTTAACGGAAAGGACTAGATTTACAAATAGTTTTTCAGTGTTTAAGTCCAAGTTATTAAAACTAGTCAAAATAGAAATTACATTTCACAAAAACTAAATATTTCATATTTCAATGTGTACTATGATGAGCATTAATATAAACAAATTTAAACAATAACAATTTTGAACAAAAAATCAATTTTACATTAAAGTCACAGGAGCAGTGAAAAACTGGTTTAACACATAATACCCAATCAACAAGGTTTGTCAACAAGAATAAATGACAGGTCCAACATTTTATTTCTTAGGCAGAGTGTTCATGAGTTTACAAATAATGGCCAGCATGACCTCATCAGCCCCAGCTCCAATGGAAATCAAACGCATGTCTCTGAAAGTAAAAAGAATAAAGCATCATAAAATATATTCGACTGCACTAGACAAAAAGTCATTGTTTTTAAGTGGTACTTTATTCTGATCAGTTTAAAACCAGACATTTGTAATATCAACAAAAACAAAACCCCAACAAAACAAAACAAAATACTCTACTCTGCAAAAAAAAATTAAAAAAAAAATCTAAAATAAACAGTAAACAAAGAAAAGACCTAGAGATCTGTAAGGGAAATAAGCTTCCCATTCCAAAATTTTGGGTCAATAAAATTTGGGCTCAT